CCTAACCACCTTTATATAGCGCAATGCTTGTTTCAAGACGGACGCTCGTCAGTCACCACACCTCTGTTGAACAAAAGCGGCCTGTTTAGATTTCAGCGACCGGTTAAATAAAAATATGAAACTTTGCTTCTTTTGGACGTGACCCAAGGCTTCACACGGGTTAGCTACCGCATCTTGCATAAGGGTTTCCCCCAACTCCAGAGTACACGATGTGAGCCCAAGAGGAGGAATTGAGTTCTGAAACTCTAACTGCATAACAAGAAGCTTGATTACATTCTGTTGTTGATTATGTTTTTTACTGCATTAAAACTCAGCATAGTCAGGGACAAGAGTGTAACTGTAGTTTTATGTCAACTTAAGACAAACAATTTTAATTTTGCTGCTACTCAGTGTCAATGCCAAGTCGCTAAATGTCACTTTTTGAAACTGAGAATCGTTCCGCTTTTGGTTTCTCACAAATTTGTCAAGAAAAACTAAAATCCAGCAAAGAAAATTACAAAACAAAAAATGAATAAAATATGAAAAAAAAAATAAATTCAAATTTAAAAAAAAAAAAAAAAATAATTATATTAAATATTTAAAAAACCGTAAAAATTGTCTTTTTAGTTTCTTTGCACCGCATGCTGAGCATAGAAAGAGCACAAATGAGTTGGCTACAAATAAAGTGGGTGCCACTGCAAGTTGTCTCTGGGTCTTTTAATTTAATATAACTTTTCGTTATTTGCTTTGGATGTGACACAACCACAAGAACAACCACTACAACGGCATCTTCGACGGTTTAGCTACAGAAATGTGTGGCACATAGACTGTCGATATTTGCAGCGCGAACACTTAAACCCACTTCGCGTCGCCGCTTCTCTACGTCATTCCAATGCGACGGTCTTTGAGTTAATATCTGATTGTGTTTCTCTTATTGGAAATGTTTTTTGTTTTATTATTCTTTTTTTTCTGATCGCATGTTATTCTCTTTTTCAAAAAAAAAAAAAAGACAAAAAAAAACTTTTTTCACTATTTTCCATTTCTGTGCTTTAATTTTGTAAGGCAGCGCAGTTCATGTAGAATTTATCTAGATCTTCTTGAAACAAATAAACAAATGAGTACTTGGCAACAAAGTGAAGAACGAAAGCAATTCAAAAAAAAAAAAAAAAAATTAAAAATAAAGCAAATCAAAGTCACACAGATTTTGAAAATAAAAGTGGTTAAGTAAAAAATAAGAAATAAAATTTAAATGAATAAAAAAAAAGTTGTAACTCGCAAAAGGCTAAATGAATTTTCAAGGAGTGCAATTGTGAGCGCCACAGCAATAAGAAGGCAGCAATGTATTTTTTTTTCGAGCTACCAAATGAAAATGATGCAGGCTTAATGCTCTAGGAGTAGACACTGAGCAGTTGAAGTATTAGCTTTACATAGAGTTCTCTGGATCGTTTTTGCCAGCAAAACACCTTAATGCTGGAGGCAGCTTTCAGTAACTATCCGATGGAACTTACGCTTACGCGGCCATCAGTTCTCATTTGATCGGGAAGCCTTCTGTAGCTTTGAGCTAAGTCAAATAGCTTCCTATGAAGAAGATGAATGTAATGATGCTCACTTAATTTCTACTTATTTCTTGAGTCTTTCGTAGATAGATCATAGTCTGCTGTCAAAATTTCTGCATAAAGCGCACAGAATTTTCTTTCAAGCAAAAAGGTTCGACCAGTTAATTTCATCCATTTGCGGAAGAATATGATTATTTGGCCAGTGCAATATCCAGGTTTACAGAAAATTTATTTTTCTATTGCCTTTCAGCAGGGTAAGTCAACCCATCCGCGTGTATTTCGGACAGGAAAATCTATTACCCGCTCGAAGGTGGCTTAGGATAAACTGTAGTGAAGATGAACACCACAGTTTGGAGCTCCGTCGAAAATCCCTTCAGCGGTTACAAAACGCTTGGTGTCTGTGCAGTCTTGTAGGTCTCCATGTCGGAGCCATGTATCTTCCGCTGAAAAGTGTTGAATTTTCTTCCATACCAAGAGTTTCTTTTTTAATTAGCTACAACTGTTATTTATTCCCTTAATTGATTTTTTGAAAAATTACTTCAAGCCGATCTCTTCAAATAACATAAAAAAATATTATAAAAAGCCTTTTGAAATTTTCAACATTCTGTTAAACCGTATTTGAAAGTTTTTGCCACTAATTAAAAATATATTTTTATTTATTTATATTGTAAAGTGTTCTCACCATGACCTTAATTAGAATTGCTGTTTTTGAATTTAATTACGATCTTTTGCAAAGATTGCATCAACTGCTAGCATTAGAGTTGTCTATATGGTATTTATTGATCTATTTTTATTTATTTATTTATTTTATTTTATTTTATTTTATTTTAGTTTTACTTTTTTTCAGATTGGCGCTTAGACTTTGTTGCAGCAAACAAAAAAAATGCATTATTTGCGCTCTATGAGAATTCAAGTTCGTCGCTTAAGTCTATTGTCTGGCGCTTAGTTGCGAAAATTAGAGCAACTGAATTGGCAGGCAAGCATTCGACATATGTGACTATGTATGTATATATGTATGGCAGTAGAACCACATAGAATTGCAAATGGCTTTTTAAGTTTTTTTTTTTTCGAAATAAAGAAATCACAAGCATTAGAAAATTAACTGAAAAATAAATATTTAAAAAATGTTGTTGCATGCATACATTTCACAAATTGCATATAGTAAAGGCATTAGCTGAAACATTTTAATAGAATTGTACATTTTTTTTTTTTCAAATACTCAATTAATTGATTTGGTGTTACGTGGGCGAGTTAAAATGATTTCTCAAGGCTAACTGAAAGCAAGTAAATTCGTATATACTGCTTACCAATGCTCACGAACAACTATTATGTATGGAAATTACTGAAGACTTGATAAAAAAAATTTCTTAAAATTATTTTTCAACTTATGGAAAATATTTAGCAATAAAATTTGACTGGATCATTTTTTTCCACACTTTTTCAAATGGTGTTGGCTGACAAAGTAAGTGAGAAAATCTATGCAATACAGGCAACTCTTTGAGTCTATGGATTACTACAGCATTTTCGAGGAATATTTCTTCATAGATAAGAAGACTACTCAGCAAGCCAGCACTGCATCTCACTCACATCTTCTTCAATATATGGTTTAACGTCTTGATGTTTATCAACAAATGGAGCGAGCTACATTTTATTCTAAGACGTTTCCAAACGGCATATGGAGTTTTGCGAGAAGATTTAATGTTCATAACAGAACTACACACAGGACTTGTGGTGACCGCAATTACAAAAACTTTTTTTTTTAATTATTCTTCCATAGTTTCTCGCTGTTTGCGCAACCCAAGACTCAAACCCTATTCGTCCGAATGGTAAAATATTCTGCTAATTACTTGGCTCTTGACGCCATCAACATATGAAAAAATGGTTCAGCAATTAATTGGGCATTCCTTATTGGGTTGCTTAACACTAAATGACGTCAAGACGAAATAATCACATGATTTCGTTGTTGGCGTCAGCCGAAAACAGCGAGTAATTAAAATGATTTACTAATCGACATATATACTAAATAAAGATTTATAGCACAGTTTGTTTATCTTCCAAAAGCCATTATTAAAACTATATATTTTCTATGCCTAGACATAATTACAAATACAATAACAAAATAGGCAGCAAAAAAAAGGAATGCGTAGATAAAAGCCAATTACGACGCACGCCGCACGGCATGCGCAGAAAAAGCAAAGAAAACCTCAAATATTGGCGAAATAAATTAGTAAATTTTTAGGCGTCTGACCTTATTGGTTTATTCTATTTAAATTTAGCTAATTGGTTATGGGTAACATTTTATCATGAGAGGGAAAAAAATAAAATTATTGATTTCACTACAAAATTGTATTTATATTTGCTAGCTGAACTAAAATAAAAATTTTTAAACTAATTAACTTTTTAAAAATTTAAGTATCATATATTTTTAAAAAATTTACCAAAATTAAATTAAAGAACAAAAAAAAAACAAAAACACTTGGAAGAAATAAAATAAAATAAAGTAAAATAAAAATAATTTAATGAAAAAAATAATATAAAATCTAAATTAAATTATAGTAATTATGTTAAAATCAAATAAAATAAAGTAAAATAAAATAAAATAAAATAAAATAAAATAAAATAAAATAAAATAAAATTAAATAAAATAAAATAAAATAAAATAAAATAATATAAAATAAAATAAAATAAAATAAAATAAAATAAAATAAAATCAAATAAAATAAAATAAAATAAATTGAAATTTAGAAGACAAAATAAAATAAATAAAAAAATAGAATGAAGTAAATTAACAACATAAAATATAGAAGAAATTAAATAAATAAAAAAAAACTATTTAAAAATAATAATAATAATAATAATGATAAAATGTATTAAAATAAAAAAAAATATATTGAAATGTAAAAACCGAACTTAAATAAATAAAAAAAAAAATCAATTAAATAAATTTAAAAAAAAAATATATAAAAAAATAAATAAAAAGGTGAAGTAAACTCAAATAAAATAAATAATATAAAAAATAATTAAATGAATCATATTAAAATAATACAAAAGAAAATGAAAGAAATAAATTAAAAATGTAATATAAATTTAAACGAAATAAAATTTAATATAAAAAATTTAAAAAAGAAAAATACAAAATAAATTATACAAAAATAAAAGACAATGTAAAAGAAATAAAAAAAGCAAATTAAATGAAAATAAAATACAATAAAAGAAAAAAATAAATAAATCCAATTAAATTCAAATAATTTAAAAGACAATAATATTTAAAAAAAAACTAAATAAAAAATATATTAAAAGAAATGTTAAATAGAATAGCATAAATAAAATAAACTAATATCAAATAAAATGTAATAAAAAAAATAAAAAATATTATAAAACATTAAGATAATAATAATTGGAAATAAATTGCAAAGAAGCAAGTGAAATAAAAAAATGAATTAAAGTAAAACAATATGCACTTACCTCGTAAACATTGCTGATTGTTGTTGTGCTTGCGTTTGTTGCTGTTGCTGCTGTTGCTGTTGCTGCTGCTGCTGTTGTTGTTGCTGCTGCTGCATGATAACATGCTGTGCATGCACATGTTGCTGTTGCTGCTGCTGCTGATGTTGCTGTTGTTGTGTTTGATGTTGTGGCACAGACAGCATTGTTTGTGTTTGCGAATGCTGATGTTGCGTTAAATGTTGCGCAACATGCTGCTGATTGACGTGCGTCTGTGGTTGCTGTTGCTGGTGTTGCAGGTGCTGTTGCATTTGCATATGCTGCATGTGTTGTGCATGCAATGTATGCAAATGTGGATGTGTCAACGGGTGTGTGTGAGCATGCATCTCTGCTATGGGCGTGGGCAACATTGCTGTGGGCGTGCCAGCGCTCAGCGCTGTTGGTTTCTCCAAATGTTTATCAGCATACATATTTTACTATTTATTATTTCTATTGTTTCTGCTATTTGTTATACAAACACTTTTGCATATGGACGTGTGTCTATAAAGAAAAGGAAATATATTCATAAACATACATATATGTTGATATAAATATATTTATTGTTGATGAAAATAAAAATTTTTATTAAAAATAGGTTAAAACTATGCTTGAACTTTTTCTCACAGCTAATTAAAATTTTATTATGGAACTAAAGAAATAAAAAGAAGGGACCAATTATTCCAAAAATACAAAAGTATAAACCATTTTTTTTTTTTTTTTGTAAATTACCAATGATAATAATTTAAACTATATATTTATAATATATTAAAAGAAATAAAGTTCAGGTGCAGCAACTTCTGATAGGCAATTTTCTGTTTTTATTATGGTCCTTCAGCTATTCATCGCCAGGTTCGTTGCAAAACTCTTTCGTGTTTCTAATTAAAAATCTAACAAAAGGTGGAGAAAAGCACAATTTTCTGACAAACCCCAAAAAATGAACAACGTTGAATTATTATTGTGTTACTTATCAATTATTGTAATCGCAATTGGAAAAGTAAATACAATAGCTGACGTGAAGGGTAATCCATACTTATGAATGTACAAAAGTATATAAATGTACAGCATAAAGAGTGTAGATAATGAAATATTATTTCTTTAAAAGAATTAACGATAATGATGTGGAAGTTATGCCGACCCAAAATATAAAAAAATCTATCAGATATTGATAAATGAGTAATTGAATGAGTATGAAAGCAATTGATCGCAAATGCAAAATAAAAGTAAAATGAGAATGCATGAGAGATGATTAGGCGAACCGTAAGTAAGAAAAGAAAAAGCTTAACCAAACATTTGGGAATATTTGAATTAAGAAGGCTAACGAAATTTTACAGAGCTTTCAGTAGTGAGGAAAATAGCAAGAGAATGCGTTCAGAATACATCAGAATGTTGCTTGGCAATTGGTATACCCTTCTCAGGATTACTTCGAGCCTGTTCGTCAGTTAAATCTCTAATGAAGTATTGCATATATCAACAGTTGCTATCAGAGGTGGGAACGACTTTCGAAATTAATTTTATATTTTTCCCGTCGAGACACTCTTAAGCTATTTTAAACATCTCAAGAGCTCATGTTTCGCTCAAACTTTGCCTTCGCTGCCATGTTTAGTTATTTTTAATTGCCTTCGCCATAAACTTTATTGACTGATGTAAGGAGAAAGTGCGATTTCAAACGCGAATTTGTATCTCATAAAAAATGCTTAGTTTATTATTTAAATTTATATGTTAATTTTTGCTGTATTTTTTTAATAATTTCATTTTATTAGAGTTAATTTAATTTGACGTAAAGCCTACTTTTATTTATTAATTTCTCTAATAAATTGATTTTACAGGGTATCCACTTAGTGGTTTCAAAAGTAAAGAATTGTATTTTAACATCGGGCCAATTTAACTACCACACCAAACATGTTTTGTTTTAGCTTAGGGTTAGACATTTATGTAACTGGATCACTTGACAACCGCACAACGGGATAAAATTCTTTACACCCACTACAAAAATGTTCTTTCAAACCTGACCACGTTCAGAAAAGTAAAACTTCTCGCAAATGGCGAGAATTAGGTACATAAACGGACATTTTCGAGCGTGAATAATACGAAAACAAGAACAACTGTCATTGAAACGGCGATGACAATTCGTTAGGCACTGTCTACACACTTTAAAGGCATTATCATCTATGTGTTTCAACCAGCCTCAGCCGGTACAGCCACCTAACGGAAAACGGCGGAAGCAAAGTTGTACACCTGATATTTTATTTTAATTTATTTTATTTTATTTTATTTTATTTTATTTTATTTTATTTTATTTTATTTTATTTTATTTTATTTTATTTTATTTTATTTTATTTTGTTTCATTTAATTCCACTATATTGAATTTTATATTATTTTTTTTTATTGTAAATGTATTTTTGGCATCTAAGTATTCCCAAAAGTTTAACTTTTGAGTTGCTTTATTAAATGCTCCCAGCTTACAAAGTGCTTTTTATTTATTTATATTCATGCCTTCCTTACATTACTCTCTTTAAGTTTAACAATATATACATAATTGCTTACGCCATCAAATAAGTGCGATCAAAGGAACAATGATTAATGATTATTTTACGCTTACTTTTAAGAAAGACCTTTTATAAAACTACATTTTTTCACATTTATGTGAGAAAATATGTCTTAGGCAAATAACTAAATTATTATTTGATTATTTGGAATTAAAAAATATATTAAATTTGCATGAATACTTTAATTATTTAATAAAATCCATTACCATTCAACGTATTGCCTTGGCTGGTGGTAAAAAAAATTTGGAGCAGATAAATTTTGTGGGCAATAGTTTAATTAACAAAGCAAAGAGATATGTATTATTTTTTTTAATTTCTTTCGACTTAATGTTTGTGGCGTGTGCCAGACAATGTGACTTAGCTCTAATTATATCAGCAAATGAACCAACGTAAATTGGGATTTGCTTGCCAAAATTAGAAAACCTTTATTGATTTTGTTATATTTTTAGAAATAAATTTCAAAAGAAAAAATTTCACACGTCTGATGTGTATGTGAAAATTTCATAGTGAGTTCTTTGATTATAAAAGAACTTTTTTCTTGGATTGCAAAGTGCGGGGCTACCGCTCACTGACTTTCAAATGCCTTTTAAAGTTCAGCTATTTTTGCCACAATAATTACTTGTATAAAAACCTACTTGATATTTTAGTATATTATTTTATTAAAAAAATATTTGTTTGTAGTTTGTTGAGAAAAAATAGTTTTCCCATACAATGGCTAAAAGCATTGGTAGCGTATTATGGGGAAGACGGAATAGAAGAAAAAAAAATGTATATTTTGGTAGGCATTTAAATAAGTTCCTCAAGAAGTTGAGTAGTATTCTGAAGTACGTGCTTTTTAGTGCCATAAGTGCACTCCAACTCTTCAACAATTGAAAAATATATTATAAATGCGCACTTAATGATTTATTCACTTATTTATTACCAGTTATTGAGGTAAATAAAAACTTAATATATATATATAAATATATATAAATATATATATATATATATACATAGTAGGCAATCACAACACTAACGAAACAAATAAATAATAAACATTTAAGTGGCAGAATGCTTGAAATATTTATTTATAAAATAATTAAAAAGTGAAATGTAATAAAATGAATAAAGAAGAGCAAACAAAATTCAAAAGTATATCTTTTCATACAAGTTAATTTATAAAAATAAAAATAAGAGATAAAAATAATATAATTTAAATAAAAACTAATAAGAAAACGTTTCGACAAAAAAAACAGACTAATGTTACCTAATGTTTAGAAAAAAAATTGGTATAAAAATTTTAGTATGAAAAAAAAGAATCAAATTTAATTACCAAAACTCAAGCAACTCAAAACCAAGCAAAAATAAAGAATATTTTCCATGTAATTGTAAACAAACAAATGAAAAAACAGAACAGATAAAAGAAATGAAATTCCATTTGGCTCCAGACGCAATCATAGATCACACAAATGACACTTGAAACGTCAAATCGAACAATGTTGATGAGGTTACTTGACAATGAAGCATCATCATCTTCAATGTGGGTTACTGTCCATAGTTGTTTTACTTATTTAACTACATATATATATGTATATACCAGCATATAAACAAAATGCATTCAAAGGCATACCACTTGAGCAATGTTACATTTGTATTTGTATGTTTGTGTACAAATATACTAAAACGTATGCATGTGAGAGAGTAAAAAGTAGTATTTAAAAGCATTTGTTTCTCATGTTTTGTTTTTGGTTTTTTTTATTCAAAATTCTATAAACTGGCTATACATATGTATGGAAGATACCTTGGTGTTATTGGCAGCAGTCAATATATAAAACATACAAACAAATAACTTCGACATAATGCACAGTTTGAAAGCTGACTGTTGGCCAACTTTATTTTATTAAAAATTATATTATTTTATTAAAAATTTTTATGTCAAAGTTCTTTGCTTTATTCTTTACTGTCGTAGACACCGTTTATGGGACTATAGCAGAGTTAATAACAGCGCGCCTTCTACACCTGATCTCTTCTTTACTAATGAGGGAAGGTCGCGTACCCTTTCATTTCACCGGCGGATGCTACATCGAAAACTTTCAAAGCTGGACATCCATTCAAACCTTATGGCGTAGCCCAAAGGAATATAAATCCTCTGCCAAGCCCTTTACTCAAACATTGCTTATGCCAACTCATCAGATTTACTTATTTTCGGTGTAGCGTGTGGTTTTGTTCATTGAGAGAGGACTGTGCTTGCCAATTGTCCATTCATTCCAAGGTAACAGCTCTTGGTGAGCGTGATTGGATGTTAAAGCTGACATCATTGTTGTTGTTATTACTGATTCTAAGGTAGACGAAATTTTCTACGACTTCAAAGTTACGACTTCTAATAGTAATGTTTATGTTTTGAAGAAATACCAAATTCAGACACAAAAGCGTACACTGGACGAAGCGGTGGTGTGCGGTGATGCTCTTTTCACAGGCTTTCTTTACCAAGAAGTGGTTGATGTTCAATCATTTTGTGGGCGGTGCTTGCATAGCTTAGCCGATAAGTCACTGCATTTCAACAGGCTGGAAAAGTGTTCCCTTCATATCCTCCATACATCGATCATCAGATGCTTCGGTCTCATAACCGCTAGAAACATGCCGTCTATTATAAAGTTGTTGATTCTCGATTCGTTACACAGTCAGTAGCTTGATAGTTGTTCTTGTGGTATGTGTTATCATAAGCACTTATGTATATATCAATCCACGGTGATGTCACGTTTGTATATATTACATACCATAGCTTGATTTCTTCCAACTTTTTGTTCCGTAGGCTACGCTCATAGATAGGTCCTTGCCGCTCCTAGGAAGCATCTTGGATTAATATTGTTCTTCTCTTCCGTCGGCAAGGCTGTAAAACAACGTTAAGTGGAAGAACTGATGCCAATTATGGCGCAAAGTTCATCAACCGGAGTGAATGGTGATGAAGTTGCTAT